CGAATTTCAGTTACCTAAATAAACATCTGTCAGAAACCAAGACAAGACCATTAGTCTCATCTGCCGACAATGAAGCTAAATCAGGAATTGAAATCTCCTTCCTCGAGGCCGCGATCAGGTGAATACATGAGTCGGCTACACTGGCTCACCCAATCTAAACAGCATGACTAAGGATAGGTGCTCAGTATTTATGCCTCAAGTTCTTGATTTGCCATACTTTGTTCAGGGCATCAGATTTTGCACAAAATCTGAACGGAACTCAAGGAATACAGTACCAGTCTTGCTTGACAATCCAGAATTTCTCTCAAGCAAACAGATGGAAATGTTAGCAAACAAATGTTGCCTTTTCAGGTTACAGAAAGAAGTCATAGCAAGGGAACTAGTTCTTTGATGCTTTAATCCTGTTCGGTCTATTTACTAAGAGGAGAATTTGCTGAAGAAGAGCTTAAAATAATTGCAGACCTACCAAGCACAGACTTTCTCAGTATTGGGTTGGCATTCACTAAAATTTACAATAATGTCAAAGTAAGATTTTGCAGTAATATTTCTTTTTCTCTAGCCAAGTTTTAATAGAAAATATTGAGGAAAACTCAGCATTCATCCAATGCATCTGCGTGCTTTTGACTAGTTAACATGTTAATCAAGAAAAGGATTGTGCTGTCCAACTATTAGGTTATTTGGAAAAGAAAAAATATTTGTCTATGAATTTGTGGATGAAATGTTTCCAAGAAGAAATTATAAATGGGCCTTTATTTTAGTTCTCTCCGGTTCTGAATGACAGGTTTAACATTCTTAGAAACCTTAAGAATATAATGACTACATCTTTAAAAGCCTCTAGGGATCCTTGTACATTAATGTATCAGTCAGTAAATTATTTATCTATAAATTAATCTTTCTAAACAGATTTCCACTGCTCTTTAATTTGAAAGCTAAACTTCTGAGTCTCCACTTCAGCAACTTTATATCTGAAGAGCCTCCATCTGTAAAAACATTTCTAACGAAAACATGAAGACAACCCCCAGAGAAGCAAATAAAATGAGATTTAAGTATATCGCAGCCTTTCTACAGTTACATTCCTAACACGAGTGGATTCGAACTTGATGCCAAATTGAGGTCATAGAATACAATCAGTGAACACTCTAGTTCTTTTGGTTTTCATGAAAAATGCAGGTGCTTACACAATTCTGTCTGAATTTCCCACGTACACGAAGATAGATGAGTTACATCTTGGTTTCCCTGAGTCACGGAAGCCAAGGGAAGAGGGGAGGAAGAAGCAAGCATAAGAAGTGCTCCAGAGCAGGAAGCAGAAAAGGGAATGCTGGAAAGTCTGGGCTCCAGAGCCTGTGTTATAGTTGCCAAAACCCATCAAAGATGGGTTTACATTTTCACATCGTACCCTATGAACAATTATTCAAGCAGACTTTATCCAGTGCTCCCGCACAAATCACTTCATTGCTTGGTAAGACCACCAACCAACAATAAGACTACAAAGCCTACTTTTGGCAACTTGAAATCCATTGTGAAAAATTCTCTATCCGGTTTATGTCCATGGTCTGGACTGTCTGCTCAATGAAACATTGTCTGTTGTGGGGTTTTTCTGGTCTTGGTTTTTGTTGTTCGACAACAAGACCTTAATTTTGTAAAACGTGGGTGTGTTACAGCAAGTTTCAAGGATCCTGCAATTCACCGTTAGAAGTCAGAATGAAAAAGTAGCCATTAATTTTCAGTAACTCTGGATTTTGTTAACAAAGGTACAACAAACATCTAATGAAGCGTCTGATCCATTCCTGCTGTCAGGGAATGAGAAGATAGGATCTTCCAGAATGGCTTGACAGGCCACTCATGTAGGAAGCAAGCTTTTTTTTTTAAATTGTGGCAAAATACGTGTACATGAAATTGTGACCATTTTCAAGTGCATAATTCACTGGCATTAAATATATTCACAGGGCTGTGCAACCATTTCCACTATCCCTGATCCAGAACTTGATTTCATCATCCTGAACAAATTCTGTCCCCACTCAGCACTCATTCTCACTCCCCGCCCTAGCCCCTGGTAATTTGTACTCCTTCTGTCTCCAAGCATTTGAAGCACAATTTTTATTTTATTTTTTATTTGCTTATCTGTCAGAGAAAGAGAGAGCATGGAGGGGGTAGGGGTAGAGAGAGAAGCAGGCTTCCTGCTGAGGAAGGAGCCTGATGTGGGGCTTGATCCTAGAAACCCGGCATCATGATCTGAGCTGAAGACAGACGCTTAACCGACTGAGCCACCCGGGCGCCCCAAGGCACAATTTTTAAAAGCATGACAGTGCAACAAAGAAGTCGACTTCAGCAGGACCTGGGTGTTAAGGTCGGGAGAGCCTGTTTTTTTTTTTTAGCATCTCCATCGTAGCTAATTTTTTATGTCTTTTGACTGGAGACCATACACAGTCTTTTCTTATGTCTTTACAGATACAACAACTTTTGAGTGCCTGCACGTGGCAGGCGCTATTTTAGTCCTGGCATGTGGCAGAAAGTTAGCTGGACCTGTCCTCTGTCCTCCATCCTCCCTGACCTTACTCTGTGGTTAACCATGCTTCTCCTTATTGCCAACCTCGGCAGAACGTGGGGACGGTGTGCAATTCTGGTAAGGTGCCAGGGGCCTTGTACCAGTAGTCATCGCCAGCACCACGGGAATGCTCAGAGACGTTACAGCAGAACATTTTTCACCTTTCACTATTAGTGCTCATCCCTGCTTTGCTAGGTAATTGATAGGAAGAGTGGCGCTATCTTCTTACCAGATTGACACACATTACGCCATTATTTTGGACTTCTGCATCTCTGTATCCCTTCATTCAACATGTGATAAAACGTTGTCTGCCATAGGAATTGCTTATAGAAAATTAGTTCAGGTTTTCTCTTATTTCTGGTTTTAAATAGAGACTTTGGGATTTCATTTATATGAAATGTCCAGAATCGCCAAAGCCACAGAGCTAGAAGGTAGGTTAGTGGTCGCGGGGGGCTGGGCGGAGGGGAGAATGGGGAGTGACTTGTTAATCCCTATGGGATTTCCTTTGGGGGTGATGAAAATGTTCTAGAATCACATAGTGGTGATGGCTGTATGACCGTGGGAATATACTAAAACCCCCTGAATTGTATCCTTTAAAAAGGTGAGTTTTATGGTTGTGAATTATAAAAAGAATCAAGTCAGCTATTCCGTGAAGGTGGACACAGTGGTAGCGAGAGGCCAGATTTTAAAATTCTACACGTAGCTGGCAGAGGGCCGTTCTTCAGCCTGGAAGAACAGGCAGTATGTTCTGGGAACTGAGAACTGGCATTCAGGCTGGGCAGCATCTGGACAAAGCAGCAAGTGGGCAAGAAAGTCATGTGGTCAGACCAGATTGTTCTCTTCCCCGAATGTTTGTGCCGTGCCCCAGTACATCCTTAAATCAGACTCAAGACTCCCCCATCGGCAAACGGGAACCCAGGTCTGGTCGAAATTCCTGGGCTGCAGCGGTGAAGGAACTCGCCAGGTTTCCTGACGGGGCACCGCCTTGAACTGGTCGACCTGCTACACCCTTCGCACGCAGGATGCACCGGCCTCAGACGTGCAGACTCGGCTTCCTCCGTGTCAAGGAAGCATAGACATCTTAGAGGTAAACTTTATTTCACCTGAAAATATCCGGCGAAAGGTCTGCCATTAGGTGTAGGAATGAGGAAGCCACCTCACTGAGCGGCCCCCCGCTCTCATTCACCTGCTGTGCGGACGCTCAACTCGCCGACCCTGACAGGAACTTTTCATTCATGAAATGACCCTTACACGCAAGATGGCTGTTGCTGAAGGACCACAAAAAGGTGGTAAAATTTCACATGTTCCCACTTTTCAGACCTATGAAGGTACGGGCAACGTATGGCCCTCAAAACCCAAACCACAACGCGACGGGGGGCGCCGGCCACCGGCCTGCCCTGTGGAGAAGCAGACGGAACAGACGGCTCAGGAGCTCGCTGTGGCACAGATTCTGATTGGTACTGGTGAAGTTCCGGAGCCAGAGGGTGGCTTTACACACGGCGAAGTGCGCCACACACCCGATGGGAAAGGTCCTTTCTGTTTCTCTAAATCTGAGGCCCCCTCTAGTGTTGGAAGAGAGTCACGCACAGCACGCAAAGCAAGCGAAGACACAGTGCACCCTCTTTCCCCAGGGACCTCCCAAAACGAAAATACCTCCGGTCCATGTGTGTGGCAGGGGAATCAATGAGAGAAATGTCTAACCATAATTAATATTTCACATTCCTGCTGTGATTCACAGAGTCGTTAGCCTCTCATGCAGTAACGTCCTTCTCTGTCATTTACTGCTGGGTTGTTTTTAGAAGATTAATACTTGGCTATTAGGGAAACAAAACATAGAACGCGTGTAGGGGTTTTATTTACTTTCCCAAAAAAATACACCTCCTTGAAAACAACAGAAAATTATTTTCATGTTTCCAAACTGCCTCTTCTGCTTCTAGGGAAGTTCTCGGTAAACACTATATATTTCCTAAAATAAATGTATTATATTTGGGAATCAGAAATTTTAAACTACTTATACTTTAAGGCTCACCTAATCTGTGAATTTGCTAACAAAGGAGGTGGGAAGTGTTGCCCCGAGGGCAAACGCTGGCTATGAACAAGACGCTGTACAGGAATTCTCAGCAGTTCGCAGAGAAGGGCACTACATAAATCCAATGACTTCATCTCGAATACTTTAAAAACCAACTGATTAAAATTAGGGTGAGTAAAAAATAGTCGTTTTTCAGTCTTCTTTCTCAGCAGAAGCCTTTGTGTCTTTCTGCCTGTTACAGAGGTTTTGGGTTAAGAACAAGCATTACTGTTACGGGAAAATAAAAAAAAAAATCCCTTTTTTTCAAGAAAACAAAACAATACAATCTTGGGCACTAGTGGGCAGATGAGCACCTTTTTAAACTTGTGACTTTCATCTTCCTGAAAGTTAGGAGCACGGTGAAAATTTGGAAATTCAACAGGTGTTGAAACAAGTTTATTCTGCATTAACTTTATTTAAATAAATGCCTAGTTTGTCATTCAGTAGAGCCTAGCGCTTCTCTGCATTGATCTTGCTTTCTGTTTTCAAACTTGTCACTTGCAAATGTTACAAGTTAAAAACACGGGCTGTCTAAAGTAAGTTAAATAAAACTGTTTACAATTGGCCTCAACTTTCGAGATAGCTGTATTCAAATGAATAGGACGCAGCATTTTTAAAGTGCAACACATACTCTTTTGGCTCAACATGAAAAATTATACAACTGGAAATTACTGCAGTCATTTCTCTAAGGACACATCTCGTGAAAAGCTGTTGTGAAAGTTAGCTCTGAAACTATAAATTATGAGAAACACTGAAAAGTCATCTAAAATGAGTATATAAAATGCAATTACAAATAAAACCAGAGTGGGAGAGGTAGCATAAAGTAAATAAAATCAAATAAATACTGTACAGTAACATACAAAATTTTGCTTATAAAAAATTGAAAATTGGTTTTAAAACATCCACTTTCCCTTCTTTTGAGGGGTTTACAATGAAATTAAAATTTAGGCCTGGAGTCTCTGTAAAGATTTTCCAAATGTTATTAATTACTGGCATTGTTTTTTGCCAAAACCTCTCTGATCTGTCGGTCTAGTTCACTTATTATTCGATCCTCATGATTATACACACCCGTCCTCATCAAAGTATCCCTTTCTTCTATGAGTCGAGTCAAATAATCATCCAAACCTTCTTCCAGGGTATTGCCACGTGGGCTGTCCATTTTTCCACTTGCAATCTCTCTGGAATCCTGGTACTGTTTCTGTTCTTGTTGCCTTAACCTGAGAAGTCAAGAACAAATGCCACTCTAAGCAGGCAACAAGTGCTGTTTTGGTTTTTGATTTTTTTTTTTAGTTAACAAAACACCGTTTCAAAAAATGATTTAATGGGAAATTATGCCTGTAGCATTATTTTCAGGAAGATAACAAAAACCAGTATTCCGCTTGGCTAGCCAGAGTCCTCATGCCCATAAAAGACAGTTTTGAAAACAATACTTGTTTTTCTAATTATAAAATAGACACAAACTGTAGCAGTTCTAGAAATGCACACACACAAAAAATCGTGATGATCTTATCCAGAGATAACCAATCTAAGTAGTAATTTTCTGTATTTCTTTTCAATTAAAAATGTGTATGTACCTTAAATATTTTTCTAAAAAATTCGTCAATTTTTTAGTATAGAGGCAAGGCTGTATACTACTTTTTTTCCACTTATAAAATTTTTTCATACATCTTTCAGCATCTTCTAAAGGGCTTCACCACATTCCTTCGCTTGGATGTACCCTTCTTTAATCACCCTTTATTGCTGGTCTTCAGGTTGTTGGTAAATCTTTGTTTTTGTTGTTTTGAACAAAATTTCCTTAAGTCATTCAACAAATATCTGTATGTACCCAACAGTGCTAGGTGCTGGGGATACTGGAGTGACTGAAGAGGAAAACTCTTTACTATTACAGAGCTTTTATCACCAAGTGTTCATAGAAAGTGACATTGTTGCCATGTGAATGCCTGGTTCAGACGGCATGTACCTTTTAAGATTTTGTATGTTTGTGACGCCTCATCTAGGAGTCAGAGAAGGGGCAGCAGGTACCAGACTGGGACTTGGGTGTTTCCAATGGAATACTGTTAATCACGTGGCCTTGCGAATGTTGAGTATACTTACTATACTTTCCTCAGTGATCGTAACACCAACTTTGGACAGTGGAGTATGTTTTAAGTATGTTCAATTAAGAGAGAACTTCATACTCCTTTATGCAAGTGGCTACAAAAATGTTTTAATTTGCAACTACTCCTAAATTTTATCTTTATAAGTGGAAGGATGAAGCAGTTGAGTCTAAGCCCCTGCTTCTGAATGGTCTTCAGGATAAGTATGCCCATGAGGACCAAATCCACTTCTGAATTTATGCAGAGTGGGGAAGAGGCAGAAGAGCCAGTGAGGAGAGTCCTGCACTCACAGACAGGGAGGACTTGGCCCCGGAAAGGGTGTAGGACTGTTGATGGTAGATACTCTGGTTTATTCTTATGATCCCTTAGGATTCCCCACAAAAGAACATGAAACTGAACTATCCAGTCCAAGATGGACATCAGACATCTCCATCTGTTCTAAGAGAAAAAAACCTAAGCAGTCAAAGCACTGTGCTCTGGGACTCGGGTGGCAATCAAGTGGTTAACAGGACAGGGGTACAAATTAGAGCAATCCCTGTGGATGTTCCCTCTACTTTAATTCTTAGAGCTTTCTTGGACAAAGAGGTCCTGTATGCAAACTAATAACATACAACCTCAAACTATGTATGAGAAAGCCCAGCCATTTTCTTGTTCATCTGTTGATGCATGAAGGACACACAGAATTTTTACACCAGTGATAGATGGTCCCTACTGCATCTTTACTAAAATGCAAATCACCAATCAGGCTCACAGTAGAATTTTAGAACCTTGTAGCTGAAGAAACCCCACAAAGTTAACAAGGGAAACTTGACGGCCCTGACGGACACTATGTCTGCACTTCACCTGCACACTCTTGTCACTAGGAACCTACGACTTTGTGGAAGTGTTCTGTAGAAAGTTCCTCCTTATACTGAACTTGATATGTAGCCTTATCCTTTCCATCCGCTGGCTACGATTGTTCAAGAGGGGCACCTACTTCTCTTTAACTTGGGAGCCCCCAGATACCTGAAGACAGCTATCTGATGCTTTGTCCTAGAGTTCTCACGTTCAACTTCCCTCTCTCCTGACCACCTTTTTGGTCACGTTCCCCTGGAAGCTCTCTAGGAAGCTGACTGACCTGAAAACGTGTTGCACATCGGTACGAACACCCAGGTGTGGTGGAACCAATGCAGACTTGTGAACACTTCTACCGATGGCCCTGTGAGAGCCACGTCACACCATTGCTAGCGGCGCCGTGCGTCCTCCCAGCCTTCCTCACATTAACGGTCTGCTCCTGTCTTTCCCATCACTTATGAGGTCTGCCTTATAATTTATACAGAGGATTCTCGGTTCTAATGTACTCAGTGGTTTAAGTCCTTGCTAAATCCTAATTTATTAAGATATTAACGATAAGACTCAATTTTGCACAATCTGCAAATTTGATAGCCAAACGGCTATCTGCGTTTAAGCCACCAAAACAGTGCTTAGCAAACAGCAGAGGCTTAATACCTATATGCTAAACTAAACTAAAACCACAAAAAAGAAAACAATACTGTAGGTATATGACAGCAAAATTTTAGAAGGCAAGGGTCATGTTATTTCTAACATCTTCCATGTCTATAACACAGTGGTAGGTTCTCCTACTGGAACTCCCATTTCTGTAGGGGAGAGAAAAAGGGCATTTTTTGGTTATTATACCTGTTTAATTCATTTCTGATATCCAACAATTCTTGTCTCTCGGTCTTCACCGTATCTTTTTCCTCAGCAGCCAGGTAACGGAGCCTCATCTGTTCCAGTTCTTCTTGCTGTTTTTTAAGACGAGCCATCTGACTTTCTTGTTCCCGCTGGAAAGAAAGAAACAAGGCAGAACTCGAATGTGAGGAGTAAATATATTTCGTACGACCTTGACCTGTGATCATAATCCCGTTAGACAGGACCCATGACACAGCCATGCGCTCTCATTCCGAGACGCGCACTGTCTGGAAAGGGCCAGGTTCTCTTGAACGGTCCTGTCTTCTTGCGGCCAGCCACAGCCATCCGAGGCGCAGTCAGTGACTGAGGTTAGCGAGATACCGTAAGAGAACCCGAGGTGACGGGAGGAAGAGTCTGCTGGCAACACAATGAGTTGTCACAAGGACCAGTGGCAAAAGCATCTAAGAAACGGTTTATTATACAAAGATACACTGCGAAAAACCGAATGAACAGTCTCTGCACTGGTCATTAATTCCTCGTCCACCTCGGGTCATTCATACACCTTTCTACTCTCTTCTCTACGTTCACACAAGAACCTGAACATAGGACAAATTGTCTTTAAAATAAATGTGCAACCGTCCCCGGAGTGGATATCCACGATTGAGTCAACCCCTCTCTCAGTAACGGACGCGTCTGGTACCACAGACGGGGCTGCAAACACCCCATCATCGAACAGAGTCAGCTCGTGGTTCTTTGTACAGATTTCTGTAGGGACGGGTGCTCTGCTTTCTTTAGGACCGAAGCCCCAAAGGGGACAGCTCTATCAGTAGGTGTATGTCGTCCTCTTTCAACATAAACTTTAGAATAACGGTAAACAGAGTTCTTACACATGATAAGTGTACAGAGTGGTAAGATTTTACAAAGCAAACTACTCCATGCAGATCACGAAACAGAAGTGCCCTGTGCTTCCTCCGACCCACCGACCACCCCTCCTTTCCCTTTCCTCAAGATAACTACTGCCCTAATTTTTAACGCCACAAATAAGACGTGACTGCTTGAACTTCACAGAAATGGAATTCTAGGTATTACTTCACGTGTGGCTTCTTTAAGCTAACATTGTTTTGCAGATTGATTTGTATTCGGTAGAGCTGATGACTGCCGTTATTACATAGTAGTACACTGGATGAATGTACAATCTTTTCATTCCGCTGTGGAAGGAACTCAGGGTTAGTTTGAAGTTTTGTTCTCTAGCGCTGATGTAAATATTACTGTACATGTCTACGGGCTCATGTTTGTATGCCTTTCTATTGGGTATATACCTAGGATTCAAACAGAAGGGCCACAGAGTAGGAGAATTTCAGTATTAATAAGCACTGTTTTCAAAGTAGTAGTACTAATTTATACTTCCCTATGAGCATTCCAGTGCTCCATATTCTTACCACTACTTGGTAATATAATTCTTTTTGCATTTACACCATTTTGATAGGTTTATGTGGCGGTATCTCGCTGTAAATTTATTTTGCATTTTTTCCCAAGACTAATGAGGTTGAACATGGTTTAGTATTTAAATGGCATTCTTCTTTTGTTAAGTTCCTGTTCAACCATTTGGCACTTTGCTCTACTTGGTTATGCATTTTCCTTACTGATATATTTATAGTACCTTATATATACAGGGATGTCTTTTGTTGGTTATTTAAATTGCAAATATTTTCCACTAGTTTTGTCTTGCCTTTTCATTTCTGTAATGGTGTTTCTTACTTAATTTTAACATAGTCCAAATTTATTCTTTTCTAGCTAGTGCCTTCTATGTCCAATTTAAGGAATTTTTTGCCTGCCTCAGTCTTGAAGAGACTCTTGTATGAAGATGCTCTTTTATACCATCTTGAAGCTTCATTTAGATCAATAATTCATATGCATACACTTGAGTATGTGTGAGATCGATTCTCTTCTCCCCCCTATAGCGCTCCAACTGACATGGCAACACTTACTAAAAAAATATCCTCTCCTGCTGCTTGGCAGTAACACCACTCACGACCCTCTAACCTGATGAAAAAAAACCCTTGCATTAAATCATACTGCCTTAATACTGTAACTTTTAAAATAATAAATCTTGATAAGTGATAGTCTATTTTCATATAAATCTGTTTCTATGGCTGGGGGAAAAAAAAGGCCCCTGGGATTTGATGATGATTATGCTTAATCTTCAGATTACCTTGGCCAAAACCATTATCTTTACAATACTGATTCTGTAATCCGTGAACATTGTTTACTTCAATTATTTAGGTCTTATTTAATTTCACTGAATGTTTTAGACTTTTCTATATACTAAGGGTAACAACTTTCTTAGAACATGCTCCGAGGTATTTCTTCTTTTGAGATGTTATTGTAAATGGCAGAGTTTTTAAATTCTCGTTTTCTAATTGGCTCTAGTATGGAGAATTAACATTGACATTTGGTTTCCAGCAAACTTGCTAAACTCACTAATTCTAGATCATCTGTAGATACTTTTTGGTTTTCTAAGTGTGTCAGCTACAAATAATAGTTTTATTTTCTCCTTTCCAAACTAATATACCCTTTTGATTTTTTTCTCCTTTGTTTTCTTAAGGTGGTAAACCACCATGTTTGCTTTTGTTTAATAAACCCTGTTGTGATTATTCTAAGTGGTTTATCAATGTTCCTGGGACTGTCCAATTTATTTTGTTCTTGTCCTTGTCAGATTTGGGAATCAAGATTATGCTAGTCTCATTTTAAAAAGAGGCGTGTTCAGTTTGTCTACAATTAGTGGTATTTCTAAAATTTTTACTAAAATTCAAATGTGAAGCCATCTAGGCCTAGAGCCTTTATATGAAAGTTTTTCATTACAGATTCAATTTCCTGAACAGCTATCCAGTGAATATTTTCTATTTCTTCTTGTGTCAATTTTGTAAGTTCTGTTTCTCAAGTTTACAGAAAGTTTTTATTACCATTCTCTTACCTCTTTCAATGACTATGAGATCCATAGCCCTGTGTCCCCCTTTTTTATTCTTGATGTTGGAAGTTAGGGCATATTCTTTTTGTCCTTGAACACTGCCATGAAGGAGGTCTTTTCAAGAAAGAACGTTTTGCTTTGTTGATTTTGTTGTATATTTTCCCATTTCCTTAATTTTTATTCATCCCTTTCTTCTAACTGCCTTAATTTCTTATTCTTACTGACCATCTGAAAGGGATGTTTAAAGAATAAATTTCTTGCTTTTCTTATTTAAGTGCACTCAAGGTTATAAAATTTTCCACTAAGCACAGTTTGCATTAAATCTCCCATCTTGATATGCTGTATTATTTTTTGGTTCAAAACATTTTCTAATTTCACTTGTGGTTTTCAGTTTAGCTATGGGTAATTAAAAGTGAAGTACTTAATTTTCAATCATTTGGGGATATGAGCTTTTCATTATTAATTTTTAGATTAATCTCACTGTGGACATAAGATACACTCAATTACAACCTTATGAAATTTGTTGAGAATAGTGTGATCTTGCATGTGAGCAATGTGGCTAAATGTTCCATGTGTACTAGAAAATGTGCATTTTAGATTTCTCTTATAAAATATTCTATATGTACCAATGGTTGTGTTGTTTAAATCTTCTAAATCGTTACTGATATTCTTGTTTGCTCTATCACTTCCTTGGAGAGTTATAGTAAAATGTACCGATGTTGTCTATTTTTCCTTTAAGAGTAAAGTTTATTGAGCGATAGAAAGCTTCAGAAGAGAGAGGGGGGACCCAAGAGGGTTGCCTCCTTTTAGTTCTGATTTTTTTGCTTCATATAAATTTGTGGCTGTTGCCAGGTGCATACAGAGGTGGAACTGTTGTCATCTTCCAGGTGAATTGACCCTTTTATGATGATGCACACTAGACAGTGTAGATACAGGTGTTGCCCTGTAGTCTACTTTGCCTGACAAAAGGAGTGCTAGATTGGTTTTCTTGTGATTAGTATTAATGTGGTACATACTTTTCCCTCTTTCAAATTTATCCCTTCTGTATCCTTACCTTTAAGCTGTGTCCTTTCTAAGTAGCATACTGCTGCTGTTTTTAGTTTTTCATGTAATATTTGTCTCTAATAGTATTTAGTCCATTTATATTTAAAGCACTTGGTCATTTAACTGGTTTAAATCTTTACATGTTAGGACGCTGTACTTGTTCCATCTTTTTGATGTTATTCTCTCCTCTGGTCTTTTTTAGATTAATCCTTTGTCTTTTCACGCGCACTCCCGCCGCGCCCCCCCCCCTTCAGCTTCTTAGTCATTTTTACTCTTTTTTAAGAAATAATACAGATCAGGACTTTGACAACTTCACAAATAATGGAACATACTTTAAACATTTTAACTCTATTTGTTCCTCCATCTCTCTTCTACTTTGTCCTTCCAGGTTTTTGTCATGAATTTTAATTCTACGTATATCAAACTCAAATGCTGTGAGTGTTGTTTTCTACAATCAATAACTGTATGTAGTCAGATATTTATTTCCATTGCTGTTTATTCTCCTGTTTTCGTCTGGGATTGTTTTCCTTCTGCCTGAAGAACACCTTATATTTTTACTCTAGGTTTGCCATGACAAAGTTTCCCAATTTTTGTTAGTCTGAAAAGTCTTATGTCACTGTTACTTACGAAGAACATTTTCACTGCATACAGAACTTGAGGTTGGCAGTTATTTTCTTTCAGTACTTCACGGATGTTACTCTATTATCTTATGAATTCCTTCGCTGCTGTTGTAAAGTCATCTGTCTGGATTGTTGCTCCCATGAAGGCCATGTCTACCTGTAACCCCATCCCTTACGGTTTTCATTGCTTTTTTGTCAATTTTACTAATATGAATCTAGGTATGTTTTACTTTGTATTTATTCTGTTTAGAGTTCATAAATATTCTTCAATCTATAAACTGATGCCTTTTGCACTTTCAGAGAATTCTCAACTAGTATCTCTTCAAATACAGCTTTCTCTCTCATTCTGTTGTCTCCTGAGGGCTTGCTCGAGGCTTAATATTTGTGTCTCCCCCAAATGCATACAGGTTTCCCACCTTTTTGAAAGTTGGTATTACACTGCTTCGTTGTTATGACAAACCTGCATTAGTATGGTTTCTGCTAAACAAATCTAAAGAGTTCCCCTACTACAAAAAAAAAG